AGAATGGACAATGACATTGACGACAGCTCCAGTGCAAACCACAGAGGGATCTAAAGGCTGTTGTTTGTCACATCTGTCAAAGCAGTCCCTTTGGATGGATGCCAGTGCAGCACAGTACAAGCCTGTGGCTTTCAGATGTCTTTTGGGATTTATAAATAGTTCAGAACGCCCAGGAAAGGCTAACTTGCAAGTTCAAGTTCCACATCATTTATTTACTCTCCAAATCTTTTATGGCATTAATCATGTGTAATAACACCAAGATAGATATGGAAGAATTCATTCATTCATTCATTCAAGACAAGGTATTTGGGTGTAAAAAAAAAAAGCCAAGGTCGTAAATGTGAAATAGAGTCCTTGCCTCCAGCATTTATTATAAGATTCACCATTTATAGAAAGTCTACCATTATCCAGAGCTGATACTTGGAGGAGATAAGAGAAGCACTTGCCTTGGGTACAAAATTTAAGAGGGCACCAAAGGAGTAAATAATAAAGGCAGCTTATTATTTAGTAAAATTAAAAGAGCCAGGCACTGGTGGCTCACACCTATAATCCTAGCTACTCAGGAGGCTGAGATCTGAGGATCACAATTTAAAGCCAGCCTGGGCAGGAAGGACTCCGGTAGAAGTGGAGCTCTGGCCCAAAGTGGTAGAATGCTAGTCTTGAATGAAAAGCTCAGGGACAGTGCTCAGGCCCTGAGTTCAAGTCCCACGACATACATACTTACATATATACATACATACATACATATTGATGCAAAAATACACAATGCACAAAATATCTTCCTTTGAGAACGCTGTCTTATTATGTAAGGTTAATTTCCAGTCCACTAGGATTTATTGTACATGTTCCACATGTCCCTTCAGGGTAGGTTTCTAGGGGTGGTTGATGGGCTGCAAATCAATTAGGCAACACTGGTCTTTATATGTGGTGTGTGTGTGTGTGTGTCAAGGCTAGTGCTTTATCACTTTGAGCCACAGCTCCACTTCTGGTTTTCTGCTGGTTTACTGGAGACAAGAGTCTCACAGACTTTCCTGTCCAGGCTGGCTTTGAATTGCAATCCTCAGCTCTCAGCCTCCTGAGTAGCTGGACAGGTATGAGCCACCAGCACCCGGCTCAAATGATCCCTTATGAGCAGTTCTAACTCAGGGTTTCTTCCTCAGCCTTTTGACATTTGGGGCTGGATCCTTCCCTGTCATGGGGCGGGGGGGGGGGGGGGAGTGGCAATATGTTCAGCAGTGTCCCTTGTCTCTTCCCACCCAATGACAAGAATGCACTACTGTGTCCCCACAGTCTCTGAGTACTCTGTGTGAGGTTCAAAAGCTAGGGAGAATGGACAAAGAGATGGTTCAACAGCAGCACAGGTACACCGGGGGAAAGCCTTCCCAAGGGGATCCTCCAGCCAAAGCTAGAGAGTGGCTCCTTGCTTACAGTCTCAGGTATTTGCAGTGACTTCAAAGGAATGTCTGATGGGGGTTGGTACTGGCAACTAATGGTGGGACACAGATAACTTGCCAAAAGGGCCACAGCTGGAGGGAGGGAGGGAGTAAAACAGGGTCTTAGTTCAAAGGCTTGTTAGGTTCAAAGCGTTGGTCTGTTGCCAGACAAATTGGATTACATTCAGTCAAGGAGAAAGGCTAAGGTGGTTTGTAAATCAAGGCACTGGTCTGGGCCTTAAGATAAGGACACCTGGCTACTTCAAACACTGGAGGTAGGAAGCAACATTGCCTCTACTGAACAAGCATTGTTTAGCTGGGCACAGTGACTCAAGGCTGTAATCCTCGGGAAGCTGAGATCAAGGAATCACAGTTCAAGGCCAGCCTGGGCATACACTTTCAGGACACTGCCATTTCAAGCATTTGCCAGGCAAGGTAGCACACGCCTGTCATCCACATTAAGGCCAGGAAGCACAAGTAGATCAAAGCAAAGCTGGCCAGGACATAAAAGGAGGCTCTACCTTGAATTTAATCAACACAAACAGAGGCTAGGAGCATGGCTCAAAGGAAAGAGAGCCTGCCTGGAGCTCGAGGTCCCAAATTTAATTGCCAGTATCACACAAAAAATCACTGTTGGAACTCGTTAGTGACTTTGGAAGAAAAGTGACATAATCAAGAAGGAAAAACATACAAAAGACTCAAAGGGATAAAAATCTGGTGTGTGTGTGTGTGTGTGTGTGTGTGTGAGAGAGAGAGAGACAGAGACAGAGACAGACAGAGACAGAGACAAAGAGACAGACAGAGAGAGTGCAAAGCTAAAGCTCAAGGGCTCTTTCAAAACATTTATTTCATGACCAAGATGGGGCTTTTAAGAAAACGTTTTTCCCTTGTTACAAAATCAATGTGCACTAATTGTGGAGAAATTTTATCTAGCAAAACAGATGAAGAAAAATTTCAAACATCATTTATCCCACTAGTGAGTGATATGCTACAATTAATATTTCATTGACTTTTCCCCCTCTTTTGTACATTCATATACAAGTGTGTTTATAGTTACCCTATAAATACACCATATCTACAGACATTATCAGTGTCTCAGCACGGAATGCTTTGGAGCTTGTTGATTGTGTAATCTACTGTAAATATCTTTTCTCCCCCATAAGGACCTATTGCCAGAGAACTTTAACTTCTTGCATTTTACAGATGTCTATTTTGCATACTCTATTTTTGGAAATTTAATTTGTTGCCAGTGGTCTGAGGTCAAAGATAATATTGCAGCCAACTTTCCCTAACTTATTCCTTGCAAACGGGTTGTATTCTTCCCACACCCCAAGTCCAGGGCAAATTCCTGGACAGAAATTGCTGGGGCAGGCAGCTGTCAGGACTCCAAAATAATTGCTGAAATTATATGTAGTTTTAAGGCATTTGGTAGGAATTGCTAAGTGGACCATGGGAATGATTGGTAAATTACAAATTCTCACAGGTGGTACTGAGTTTCTTATTTTTGTTGCTTTTAAGCTTTGCCAAATTGATGGAGGGTATTGAAAACTGTTGGAAACTGCATGACCCAGTTTTAGGTCTGCTGCAATGTGTGTGTGTGTGTGTGTGTGTGTGTGTGTGTGTGTGTGTGTGTGTGTGTGTGTGTACAATTGAGTAATCACGTGGAAAAAGAGAAGGTGAAACTGAAGGGTGTTGGCAAGAAAAAAAAAGGACAAAACCAAAACCTGCTGTGGATGAGGAAGGTGCTTATATTTGGTCATTTCTGCCCAGTGGGTTGAATTGTACCATCTGCTCCTGCCCTGGCGTGACACATTATACGCTGCCCACTTGCCGTTGATTCTAGAGCTTTGGTAGCAGCTGCTGTCCAGACCCAGGGCTGTCCAGGGCGGGGCGTCCTTACTTGACGCAGAGTTGTGTCTCCACTGGATTGCTCCGAAGGTAGGAGATGAGAGACTGGCCCTGTGGTCTCTGTGACCTGGCCGCTGCGCGGGGCTGAGTGGCTGGGCCAAGCACGTGACCCTCCCACCCTCCCTCTGGGGCTCTCCAAACGGCTGACGCTGAAAGCGACTTTTGCCTGTCGGGAAGATGAGCCTGTCACTTGTCCTCTCGAATCAGACCCTCAGACAAATGGAGCAGGGGATCCCGGTAGCATTTGAACTTTAGATTTCTAGAATCTGACAACAAAAGGTAAGTTCTTTGGCACTCAGGAAAACAAACCTGAGAGGCGTGACCTACAAACGCACACTGCCATTGTCAAGTTTTAAAATATGGTCGTGAAAATAATCGATCTTAGTGAGAGGCATGGGCTGTATTTATGCCTAAATTAGAGAATGACTTTCTGAACAGAGATGTGGTTACTCTAGAGGGAATGGTGGTTAAAAAAAGGGGGGCAAGGCTAAATATAGAATGGCAGAAAAGCTGCTTGAAATGAATAGCAAGTAAGTTTAAGCCGCTGGCAGGCGGTCTATTTCATGTGTCATTCGGGGTAGGAGTGAAGGGAATATTAAAGTTGTGCAACTCAAGAAATTGATTGGTATGAAATTGCAATACAAATATCATTGTTCTGCCTTTTGTCCCTTCGAATTTCAAAGAATGTTTATGTGGTTGGGCAAAAGAAGAATTTGTACATGTCCTGTTTGAAGTCTGAAATATGCTTTCTCACATTAAATCATTACAGAATTGTCCCTTTTCATGGCATTGGGGGATGTGGACTGCTTAAAGTGGCAAGTATGCTTTTCACACTTACTAAATGTTCACAGAGCTTTCGCCTTTTTTCCCATGGTATTGGGTTTCATTTCTGGGTGTTGTACTTGTTAGGCAGGTGCTCTTATCTTTTGAGCCACATCCCCAGCTCTCTTACAGAATCTTCTAAGGCTTTCTAGGCAAGGCTGTTTTAGTTGTGAATAAGAAATGTTGATATTGGACATATTTTCTGTAATAGCAAAATGACTCACTTTTTCAGGATGTGATACAAATTAGAAAACACATAGCAATTTACTGTCAATTAAGACTTTCATGCTTTACCAGAAAATTTAAGAAAATAAATACAGCCATATACAATTATTCTCATACAATAGCGTTATATTTAGAATTAAACATTCAAGTGAATAGTATGTGAGTCACATCTCCAGCCCGAAGGGAGTGGTGGTATGATGTGGTGTGCCCATTGCCCCCACCCCCTTTGGAAAATACGAATAAATGTTAGAATACAGCTCTCGAGAGTAAAGTATTATTTAGCAGTATCATTAGTATCATATTCTGTAACTGTTTTAAACTGTTCAGTGTAATATTTGACATCGGATTTCTCTATCCAGTGTATATTCTTGCACCCTGCATTTCCACTGTCACTTTGGTTTGCACAGCATGTGTTTCTCCGCTGCATTTGATAAATACTGGTTTTGGAAAAGAACCCTTGGTGGCACGCCTTCTCCTTATAATCTCCTTATTGAGAGTTCCTTTGAAATCCTATGACGTACTTGGAACCTGTCATAATTTGCATTTCCACTTCCCTAGGCGCTCTGTTTCCCACAGTCCTGCGTGCAAGGCCGGGGAAGCGGCACCCATGGAACCAAAGAACCCTGAAGCAGAACGATCCGGCTGAAGACGGTTTCTGGCTACTGTTACCTCACCCGGAGATCACCTTGCTTCGCTCCCAACCGCGCTCCAAAGCCATCACGTGACGGCGCGGAGCCCCGCCCCCGGTGACGTCACAACGCTCCCCACCGTCTCGCTGAAGAAAGGATGCTGTAGGATGCGGGCCAGGTGCGCGGCGCGCCGCAGCATGCAGCACGGCAGGTAAGGGGCGCGTGACGCCCGACGCTGGCCCCGGCCGCCCTGGCGGCGCAGCGGCTGCGTGCGGAGCCCCAGCCGGGCCCCGGGCCGCGGCCGCAGCCGCCCCTCCCCCAGCCCGAAGCGGGGCCTTGGCTGCAGCCGTGACCGCTGCGGCTGCGGCTGCGGGCAGCGCGCGGGGAGGGGCGGCTGCAGCGTGAGGCCGGCGCCGGGGAGAGGGCCACGGGGCCACGACGCGAGCGTGTATGTGCAGGGGCGGGGCGGGCGGTGGGCCGCGCAGGATGCGCGCGTGCTGAGGACAGAACGGGCCGTTTGTTTACGAGGTTCGCGCTTCGCCTCGCAGTGTGTGCTGCGCTTTGGATCCGGACGTTCTGGGGAGACGGCGCCTGCCTGAGCCTTGGGGGGCTGCCTGACTCCTTTCAAAGCGTAACGCTCCGGCCTTTCAATGTGCAGGACCCCCTTCCCCCCTCCCCATGGGGTTCAGTAGATTGGAAAAATCACAGCGGCCAATAAAACGCATTGCCCGCACCCCCATCCGACCCCAAGAGAACCGGCGGCAGCGAGACACAGCAACATCGGGAAGAACAAAATGGATGGAGACAAGCGCAGCGCGGAGGGTCTGCAGCGCCGTCTCCTCCCCTGCGGAGTGACGAGCCGCAGCGGCGCGGCGCAGGTGCCTCACGGCCTCGCTGTGGACCCTGTTCCCGTTCCTTTCTCCTGCTGTGCGCCAGGCCGCGTGGGCACCGTTAGGAGGAGGGGAATGTGCCATTCTTTCCCGAGAAGCTGCAGCCGTGCGAGGCGGGCGTTGCTCAGCTGCAGGGGAAGGCACCGCAGCAGGCATTCCGCTCCTCAAGCGCCGCGGGCGACTGGGAAGCAATGCCACTTCCCTGGCTAACTGACCAAAGCGTTCCTTTCGGTGGGGGATGTCCTGACGTGTGGCTGTAGCCATTCAGGGATTTCTTTATTGCCATTTTCTGCCTTTGGCTCAGCTTGGTTCAGGATTTACATCAGCTGTTGGGGGCAGCTCATTGGTTGAACATGTGCTAACCACGGGGCAGGCTCCGGATCCCATCCGCAGCAGCAACCAAGGAAATCCATTGAACAAATAAACAGATGTCCAAGCGCCCACCCTCTCTTCACCTCCAGCCCACTCTAGACAGAGCGGGTGTTAACAGAGACTGGGTTCTACTTGGGCTGGGGGACTTTATATAACCCTGAACAAGAAGGTTTGTCTTCAGGCCTTTGTTTTCTCATCCTCAAAATTACAAAGAGATTTAGACGAGCATTTGGAAGCGGGGCACAGTAGGAGGCCAGCGCACTCTCTGTTGCACGAGCTGCCTTGTGCCTCAGCGGTACCTGTGCTCCCCCACCTCGCTGGCGCCACACCAAAGCCTCTCCTCAATAGATGTGAGCACGTGTCCCCGGACAGCTGTGGCGTTTCCGGTGGAAGCCTAGGGATTTAGGTCATTTTCACTTTCTTTTCGTTGTGCTACTGGGTGAGGTCGCACTGTGTCACATGCTAGGTAAGCACTCTACGGTGAAGCAACACTTCAGCTCCGACATAGCCTGCAAAAGTTGTTCTGGCACCAACATTATGGAATTCATTTTCCTACGATTTGTTCAATGTGGAGCACTGGGTGTCAGAAACCAAGTTTCCTTTATAATGTTGCACATACTGGAAAATATAACGTGAAGGCCTGTATACACCAAGGGTTGGTGGACACCATTTCTCTCGTAAGTGCAGGGGGTATGTGTATGCCATTTGGAGCTGGGCGCAAACCTGGCAGCTAGGCCAGTTTTGGAGAATAAGAAAACAAGCACTAGACAACCATGGGCAGAAACGCCCTGGGATTCCGGCCGGTGACTCACCTGGTGACGCTGGAGTGGAGAGATGGCATTTCATTGAAAGTTTTTAATTGTTATTTGAAAGCTGACGTGCACAGGGGTTACAGTTGCTTCAGTCAGGTAGAGTGTATTTCTTTTTGGACAATGGCACCCCTACCTTCCATCCCCACCCACAAGCTGTATAGGTCGTTTTCAACAGCGTGTTGGGTGAGTACCACAGCTGCATTTGTTCGCCCTTGGTCCCCCTGTTTCTGGCGACCAGATTAAGGTATAGTGAGCCCATAGCTTCCGCCTTGGCTACTGCGTTTTCCAACAGGGTGGAAGGCAGTGGTATGTACAAAGTGTCAAGGTTGGGGGCGGGGCTGTGGCTAGGAGGTCACTTCCGGGGCAGGTCGGTGCAGGTGAGGTATTCTAGAGATGAAATAAGGTGTCTTCTGTGCTCGTCCCATGTGGTGAGAATAGGCTGGTGACGGCATGCCCACTGCTAGCAGGAGGCAAACACATTTGTCTCCAGCAGTGGCTGCTGGCTGGCCGCTCTGGGCACGCACGCGCACACACGCTTTAAACTTCAGAAGTGGACTCATGTCTGAAAGTGTGCAAGTCTAGCTCTGGTACTTAGGAAGGTGACCTTGGCCAGCGTGACCTCTCAGAGTGGGTGTGAGGACTGTGAGGTCTGTCCAGCCGTCCACGAGGGTTCCGCTGCCTCGGCGTTTAGAGTGGGGACCATTGATTGGGTCATGGCCTGAGCAAGCGCGTATCAGGCATCTGGTGACACTTGGCGACTCATTCTGTGCCTGGTAATCCACTGAGTTCGAGGAGGCCCCTAAGCATTTTTGCTCAAGGCTCTACCACTTTGAGCCTCAGCTCCACTTTGGGTTAATTAGAGGTAAGAGTCTCACAGACTTTCTTGCTCAGCCTGGCTTTGAACCAGGATTGTCAGATCTCAGCTTCCTGAGTAGGTAGCATTACAGGTGTGAGCTACCAGTCCGTGGCTGGGGACTACCTTCTGAGAGCTCTGGAGTCCTGCTGTCCAGCTTAGCCACACCTGGATTTTTGGCCCAGGACCAATGAGGCAAGACATGTCTGTCTCTTTCTGCTGTGCGGTGGCCTTACTCACTATGCAGCCGTAGACAGCAAATGCATGTGTTTGTGAAGAGGGCTCTTATTTTTTGGAGATGCATGTTAAGATATTTACAAATAAAATGTCATGACAGCAATAGTTTATTTTTTTTCTTAATTTTCTTTTTTTTTACTTTTTTTTTTTGAGAACTCTTTTAGCATATGGCCAACTTGAAGACAGGTCAATTCTTCTCTTTTTTAGGTGCCAGTCATGGGACTTGAACTCAGAGCCTAGGCACTGTCCCTGGACGTTTTTACTCAAAGTTAGCATGTTCTACCACTTGAACCACAACTGAAGAGCTTTTTTTTTTTTTTGGGTCCAGTTGTGGGGCCTGAACTCTGGGCCTGGGCGCTGTCCCTCAGCTCTTCAGCTCAAGGCTAGCACTCTACCACTTGAGCCACAGCGTCACTTCCGGCTTTTTTCTTTCTGCTTATGTGGTGCTGGGGAATTGAACCCAGGGCCTCATGCATGCAAGGCAAGCGCTCTACCACTGAGCCACCTTCCCAGCCCCACAACTGAAGAGCTTTTGAGCTTTTGCTAGTTAATTGTAAGTAAGAGTCTATATGGGCTTTCGTGCTTGGGCTGGCTTTGAACTGCAATGCTCAGATCTCAGCCTCTTGAGTAGCTGGGATTATAGGCTTAAACTACCAGAGTCTGACAATAAATTCTTGTGGTACTTGCTTTTACAGTCAGGGTGCTGCAGGATCCTTCCCTGCTCCCCTCCTCCTCAGCAAACTGGGGTGTTACCCACAGGGCAAGTCTCGTTATCAATCCTTCAGCACATTTCCAGTGGGCAGCTAGAGAGAAACTTTCCTTTGTAGCCAGGGGTGTGTTTCTGTTAAGATAACAATGCATATATTTTACCGTTCTTTTGTATCAGCAGATGTTAATTGTTCAAAGGGGTTTTGGTGTAATATATCCATAAATGCCTATAAGATACAACAATCAAATTCACCCCCTCTATTACTCCTTATTAACATCCCCTCTTTTTTGAAACAATTTTAATGGGTTTTATTATTCTAGTTTCATTCATGCATATAAAATGCTTTGGTCACAGTCACCCCTTTTTGCCTTCTTTCACCTCCCGCCTCTTACCCAGATCTCCAGCAAGTCAGGACCTGGTTTACATTCATGCTAACTTGTTGTGCTAGTCCGGGGCTTGTCCCTGAGCTTTTGTGTTCAGGGCCAGCACTCCACCACTTGAGGTACAGCTCCACTTCTGGCTATGTTGATGCTTAATTGGAAGTAAGAGTCTCATGGACTTTCCTGCCTGAGCTGATTTCAAACCACAGTCTTCAGATTTCAGCCCCCTGAGTAGCCAGGACTATGGGTGTGAGCCACCAGTGCCTGGCTATGCTATTTTTTTTAAATATCTAGGTTCTGCCTATGAGAGAAAACATGATATTTTATTTCTGAAGAGGCTGGTTTATTTTATGTAGCATAATGATATGTGTGAATGACTATTTTGAAACAATAATGCATACACAGGGTAGTTTTCAAGGTTATACAAAAGATGCTCTGTTTCCTTCCAGTTCTGGGTCCTCTGCCTTCCTTCCGGAGGCAAGCATCTGCAGATAACTTAGTTAGAGATAGTTTTAGAAACTTCCCGGGAAGACAGCCTTATCTGTACAATGCCCACTTTTTCCTTTCTTGGGATATAATGTATGCACAGTTAAAATGCATTGTTTTGTTTTGACATAACAGAAACCCAGAGGGTCCCATTTTGCCTCATTTTAGTCAAACGCTCTGGCAACAGAAAACAAGAATTCTTTCTGTCCCCACGGTTTGGCCCACCGTCAAACCTCATGTAGATGGAAGCAAACAATAGATGCACTTTCATATCTGGCTTCTTTTACTCTTCATAATTTTGAGATTCGTCTATGTTTCATGCAGCAGTAACCCACTCCATTTTTGGTTTTTCTTTTCGAATTGTTTTTGTAAATAGCTCTTGTGGAGATAAAATAGGAATACTCAGCACACCTCATTTCTCGAGCTGTGTGGTGGGGGAGACTTGTTTGCCTTAGGCTCATGGTATGTATCA